AAAAAAAATTAGAAAAGAAGAGCGAGTGCAACCGTCACCGACTTACTGTGTTTCACTCCTTCCATCCATCCAAATTTGAATTGAGAGCAGTGAGTGTGGAAATCATGTGTAATATGCAGTTAACGCTAATTTATAGAAGTTAACATTATGTGAAATTTTCTTCTTATAAAAGAAAATCTTATTGAAATTTAGTTGTTTCACCCCTTAGATTCATTTGCAAAAAAGTATCTGCTTTCCATCTCTGTTGCCAATTGCTTTTTTTGATTGTCAGAAATTATAAAAGCTGTCATTGTTCTGTCATCTTTTCTGGACTGCATATATGTAAAAAGAATAAATAAAAGTTCGACTCTCATGTCTTAGACATCAAATGGTTACTTCTGGTAAATTGGCTCCCATGCCTCGCTCCAATACAACAAGTGGTTTGTAGTACATCCACCAAGATTCGCTCTTTCCACCCTTCAGAGAACTCATGACTACGACACGGTGCTCTCTAGCTGCAGATCGTATCTCAAGCCATTGCGACGCGAACTGTATGTAGCAGATCTCAGCTGTTTCCTTTTATGATATTCATCCAACTTGATGGAATGGGAAACTGATACATAATAACTCCAGGATCTTACAGCGGTTCATTGCACCCTTTGCTGCGTTTTAAAAGTCTTGAAAGGCATTTTGCTGGGAGCAACTATATAAAAACTTTCCGTCAAGATTGGGCTTATATTCTGTTCATAGCCTTCTGCTTTATTTTTAGATCAGATCAAAAATTATGTTAGAATTAATGAACGAGCAATAGAGAAAATGATGGTGAAAACATGGTTTTCCTGAAAGAGGCTATACAGAATTTTTACTGAAAATTCAAAAGCAGTCCACTGCAATGGTAACGTGTATGTAAGGGTGCCCATTAATGCCACTTTCAAAGAAATTGGCAATTTTCACATTCATTTCATTGCCTGCAACCCAAAATTGAGGTGGATCTATAGTGAAATAAATCACGACTCTCTACATCTTTGCAGTAGATTATGTTCTTTGTGTGCAAAATGGTACAAGCTTATTATGTATTAATGGCAAGAGAAACTTTTAGATTTTGAATCTTTGACTATCATTTATAATATCGTTTTTCTCATTTCAAATGTTAAAAAGAGATTATTACATTTGCTTCCAACCTCTCATTAAAACATTGGAAGAAATCCGATTAACTGTAAGCCCCTCAATTTTAAACTATTTCTTCAACAAATTCCGTTTCAGTTGGCCAATGCCTTGTTCAACTACTGCTGCCGTAAAAGTTCTATTCCTGTTCAGTGCACGTCGGCCTGCGATTACGACAGATACACTAGCCAGCTGGTCTGCTAAAGATTCATTACTCAAATATTAGAACATTATAAATCTTACAATCAAATTTGCAGGTCTCTTACATGATGTCAGGACATTCCGAATGCCCAACTGCAGCACTTTCAACCGTTCATCTCTGCGCCTCTCGAGGTCAGGATCAACGCGATTGCTGCGCAAGGGCTGGCATTCCCAGCCAGTGTATCCGCTATTGCGATCCTTCGACGACTTCTATGCAAACGTCACTACGATTCCCTTGCCTCATCTACTTGGACAAAATGAAAGGTTTTATAGCAGTCTAGGCATCACTGTTCCTCTTCTATGGGTATTTACAGAT